AAGATAAGTGTTACGTACAAATTGGCAAACAAAGACAAGGGTGGTCCAAATAGATTGTGGGTTTCAATAAACACACTTTTTTTTTTTTTTTTTTGGTTGGTTTTACCGTTTCTTGTATCTAAAGCTCCATCTAAAATTCCACTGCCTCACTTGTCGTCGTCCACAGTGATTAACAGTTGTAAATTTGCCTTAGGTTGAAACTGTCAGATTAAGATGTCTCGAAGTGATGCCTGCTGTTAATGAAGTCACACAGACAAAACCCCCAAAATGTTTCTGTTGGCAGATAAGTGATTAGCATGGAGCAACATCTCCGTTTTTCAACACACCTTTCTGTGCATGTCAGCCCAAAGTCTGAACATGACACAGAAAGAAAACACAAAAGACAGGTTGTTTGAGCCACTTTGGTATTTTATAGACTACTAAACCAACTTGATGTGAAGTTAATGTATTGGAGGACAGTGATATGGTATAATATCCCTATAATGGCTGGCTTAAAGGGATAACCTGGTCATTTAGAAAATGTTATTCTGTATCCCTTTGAAAATGATATTCCATACATTCATAGCTAGTACCTTATCAGCCATGACATTAGTCATAGAGCATGGAGTAATCCACTTCCACACAAACAGAAAAGGGAAATGTTATTGTGCCCTGAGATGACTTCTGTTGTGACTTGGTGCTTTGTACAGGTAAATAAACTGAGCTGAACTGAATTTAGGCTATGGGTCTGCAACCTGCGGCTCTGGAGCCACATGCAGCTCTTTGATTCCTCTGCAGCGGCTCTTTCAAGCTTTGACTAAAACTAACATATTTTATTGGTTGTAAAAAACGGACTAGTTTTAGCTGTTTTCCTGTCATTTCTTTTGCAAATATGTGAAGACTAGAACAAGTACAAAGAGTAAAACATACTAACTTCAACTTTATGCCTTATTTCTATACATTTTTCCCACATTCCGCATAGTTCATGTTTTTTGTTAATTAAAGAAACTACCCCCTCTCCCCAAGAATTGGTCCTTTCATTTGTCTTAAATTGTAAAAATATCAATAAATGTTAAAAATAATTAGCAGCATTTCCCCTACTATTATACAAGCAGGGCAGTGTCCCACCTACCAAACTGAAATGTGCCCCCCACCCACTCCCACGTCAGCAGTGATGTAGCACAAAGCTAGTGGTGTGCAATACAGACAAGCTAGCTAAAAAACAAAGGCTGTGCTCATGCTGCCTCTTCCATCATGCTAAACCCTCACGCTAACCATCCCCCCCCCCCACCACTCAAAAACCGTCAGTACAAACAGCGCACAAGTCAGACGTGCCCCCCCGTTCCCTGTCCACTGTCAACAAAAATCACGGATGAGTTGAACACCCCGCCCTGGAAAGTTATCTAGGGGAAACACCGATTACACGTTTTTAGCTTTATAATGTCACCCCTTTGGTGGCCACAAAAGCCCCCTCCAACAAACTAAAGTGGCCCATGGGCCACCAGTTGATAATCACAGTTGTAGCATGTTGTTGCGACTCTGAACATTTTTAATTTAGTGAACAAAGGCGTAAAAGACGCTCTTTTGATCATAAAGGTTGCACACCCCTGGGCTAGGATAATGGATATTCAAACTAAGTGCCACTTTGTATTGTTTACCAGACTAAAAACAACTCTCCCTCAAAAGTGTCATAATGGTGTAAAAGAATGCTACATTCATCACAAACATTAAATCGTCACGGCATATCGTTCGTTTAGTTTGTTGCTGTTTTCTCAATAGAACAGCATCCGATACCCTGGAAACATTGATGTTCTGTTTCAATGTATCAGTCCACCGAAAGTTAATTAAAGTTTTCACTGACAAGATGATCAGGCAGACTGATACCTTCAGCAGCCTCATGGAGCACGGTAAATTTGACTATGCTCAGCAAAACTATGGAAAATAGTTGGTTGAAAGAACAGCAACAAACTGTGCCGTGTAAAAGTGTAGACGTTTAATAGCTAATGTAGCATTCTTTTACATGAGTGACATTTTTGAAATTTAAAAAAAAGAAGCTTTTAAAGTCTGAGAAACAACATGAAACAGGCCTTTGTTTGGCAAGCCATAACTTGAAGGAAGTCTTCAATTCAATTCGGTTCAGTTTATTTCTATAGCTCCAAGTCACAGCAGGTCATCTCAGAGCACTGAACAGAAACATAAAGTAAGTTCAAACTAGTTACCTGCTTTTTCTCCATACTGTCTTCTGATAAGGTACTAACCAACGTTTTGACAGAGCATCAGTTAAATGGCCAGACTACTCCTTTAACTCTCCCTTGTATATTCCAGAATTTCTTTGAGTATTTTGTCAGAAACCTCAGGACCTTCAGTTCAATTCTTCACCATCAATCAGAGCTTGTGAACTATTGACCTGGAAGAGGTGATGCGTCAACATGTTTTACAAATTATGCTTTCATACTTTAATGCTCATCTAGCTTTATATATATATTTTTTTTTTTATGATATTGTTTGTACTATTTTTATTGTTATTGTTACTGTTATTTTATAACATGCTTTTTCCTCACTGTACGTAAAGAATTAATTACTGCATTGTGGCGTGACTTTTAAAGAAAACGATCATTTAGATCTTTGATTGTGAGGTTCTATTGAAAGGCTATGAATAATAATTATCTTACCTGTAGTGGCTTTTGGAACAACCTCAGTTTAGACAAATAGTTTAATTCTGACTGGACCGAGGAGTTAAGGGGCAAGAACAATATGGATTGCTGTCATTTTAAAACAACTCTAACCCTAAAACTTTCACAGTGTTTCTTGAGATCAATATTTTATAAATCATTTAACTGGAGTTAATTTTCACTAACCTCTTGCTCCAGCAGAAACATCTCCATATTCCTGCTTACAGTGGCTCAGACCGCACTGGAAGTGCTCTAGGGATCCCACTTCTAAACGCTATATAAATAAATTGAACTGAATTGAATTGAAAAGATCTCAACTGTCACTTCAAGTATCCTGTGCTATAATTGACCAGAATAAATGTGCTTATAAATCGTTTATTTTCATAAACAGTACGATAGCTAGACACATTTTTCTTCAAGATTCTCAATTTATTAAAAGTGTGCTGTAATTTAACTCTGGGTTTTTCCACACAGTAAAATCTGACACGACAACTGACACTTCTAAGACAGGAATCCGTGACCCATCCAAATGTAACCACATCACTTGTTTTAAAATCAGTTATGCAAATGTTGACAGGTTGACCTCCTCCTACCCCCTGAGATATTTACCATTAGTGCCAAGATGTTAAACTCCACTTGATACACTTGAAGGGCAATTTGTTCTCTTCTTCACTTCCTTCTTTCTTCTGCTCCTTGTCTTTTGGCGAGCTGAATGTAAATGACTGTCATGCTGCCCTTTGTTTCGGGGTAAATAAAGGCCTCAGGGGAACACCAGTAAAAGGGTCTCTATTTATTTAAAAAACATACATATCAATCAAGCATGGATTAGAATAGAAAACAACAACAACAAAGATTAGGTTTTTTTTTTATTGCAGTCAGCCTTTATCTGTAATTTAACAGATTTATCCACCCTTTTTTTGACCTGTTTAGCTGTGTAAATGTTTAGGTAAAGCACACATTTGCCTGGGTAATTATATAAAGTACAACAAACACCATTTGAAATATGTTCTTGTTACTGGTTATTATACTTTGCTACATCAAGATATATAAAAGCCTTTTAAGATATTATCAAATGTTTCAATACAAAATATTTTAACAGTTGCACACAGATTTTTACATGGGTTTTAAATATCCTTTCGTTAAAGGATTTGTTTGCATTTTAATTGAAGTCTTTTTAAAGTGGACATTTTCTGTATATTTGTATAGCAGACAAAGGAAATAAATACATTGTTTTTACACCGTATTATTTTTCTCTTAGCATTTGAAGGAATGTTTAAATCTTAAACCCAAATTGTGTAATTGCTCACATTATTTGGGTTGATGGTTAAAAACCTATTGAAAATAAACAAATAAAACAGCGTTTAAACTGTGGTGTTATTTTTTGTTTGTTTGTTTGTTTTATACAGCATCACATATTCCGAGTTTAAAAAGTTGAGTGTTTATCTCCCTGCTGAAACTGCCTGCATCCAGTCAGCACTTTCTGTGTGTACGTTTTAGGACACCGGGGATTTTAGTGTTTGGGAAGAAGGACAGCATGGGAATGTGGCTTTCCAACGTTTAGGAAAATCAGTTAACTATCCATCACACAAAGATCAGGTTACAGTGACATGCAGGTTCCACACCACTGGTCACTGCGACGGGACTGTTTTCTGCCAGGATTTATTGGTTTACTTTCTCTTCCTTGTTTTTCCTGGGATCGGGGTATGGGGTGGTCCCGGGAAACATTTGAAACTATACATCCATGTGAAAACACGAACACGACACTGTAATTCTAAAACCTTTTATTCATATCAAAACACAATGTAACAGCACGTAGCACATCTAACAAATTAATTATGACCAATGAACCAACAATCGTATATATGCCACAAAACATGAACCTATATACAATTACCACTTGTTTATTACGTTCCCAGACTGTAAAATAATCCCATTGTTTAAATGTAGAACTATAACACCCTGACCAATACCGTTTTTTCTTTTTAGTGCAACGACTTCACACATTGTTGACAACAGTGTAATTTAACTACACCTGTAAATGTGCTGTATGCGCATTGAAAGAGTGATACCATCAAAGAATCACGCCTGATGTCAGCAGATCAGACTGAGGCGGTGTTAATATTGAGTCAGATCTGATAGAGACTAGCGTAAGTTAGAATAAAAGCTGACAGAGGATCAGATAGTGAGGCTAAAAGCGGTTTCTGGGGCCGACGATCTTAGGCTGCTGCGCCTGACTCAGCCGTTTCTGTGGGAATCAAAGCCGTTTTACTCAACTGTCACACACTGCTGCCATCTCAACTGTCTGTGTCAGCGCAAACGTACATCCCCCCCCCCCCCCCCCCATGTAGTTTTTCCACAGCAGAATTATTCTAAACAAAAATAACATCAGACATTTGAAATTTCCTTTAAACAGTCTTTCCGTCAACGTTCCCCTCCCCCCATAATGACGTCTTAAACTTCTGTGCCCTCTCGATGATAGATGATTCCAGTGGAGCCCAGTGAAGGGTAGAAATGCCCACTAGAAGCATTGTACTGGCTCACGATGGGGCTGGAGTAACCTAAAGAAGAGTGAGTCGGTGAAGAGGTGAGCACAGGGGGAGCTGGCACTTGTGGTACCCACTCTGGGACACCTGAGTTGGGGGAGTAGTTACTAAAGCTTCCTGGCTGTGGTCTGTGAGCCCCGTCTAATGGAAGGTTAATCTGCAGCGGTCTGCTAAGCCCATCACCCCCCACCTCATTTGCTCCTCCAGCAGAAACCGTCGACATTTCAGATAAGAAGCTGCTTAGACACGGTGTGGGACCGGACAGCGATGGGGAGGGGATTCTGTCAGGTGGTGGGGACATGTTGAGGGCTGGGTGTTTGGGGCTGCCCCGCTCACTGTCACCAGACTCTGGAGCCCCTGGACCACCATCACCACCAGCTAGGGAATCAGACTTCCTCTTCCTTTTGCGACGGAAGTTTCCGTTGTCGAACATCTTCTCACAGTTTGGGTCAAGTGTCCAGTAGTTGCCCTTACCTATTGGGTGAAAATCAAGTTAGACTCAGAATTAAGTGAATACATTACTCAAGTTACAGCAGTACACACTAAATGATCTGAATTTATTACCTGGATCATCCTCATCTCTTGGGACTTTCTTGAAGCAGTCATTAAGTGACAGATTGTGTCTGATGGAGTTCTGCCAGCCTGCTTTACTCTTGTTGTAGAAAGGGAAGTTGTCAGCCACGTACTGATAAATCTGGCTCAATGTTAGTCTCTTGTCTGGCGCTCCGTGGATAGCCATGGCGATGAGAGCAGAGTAGGAGTACGGTGGGCGGACCAGCTTCATCAGATCTTCTTGTGAGGGAAGAGAGAACCAGCTTAGTTCGCCTCCGGGACCTCCAGGTCCAGCTGGACCCAGGTAAGGCCTCTGCATGCCGTAGTGCTGAGGTACAAAAGGAGGACCGGGATTACCGGGTGGGCCGGTGGAAGAGAGGTATGACGACGTGTTGATTCCAGAGCTGTTGAACCACAGGTATGGGTTTGGGGATGAAGTGGCGTAGTCACTCAGGTCGTAGGAGGCTGGAGTGGTGCGCTGAGGGCTCGGCAGCGAAGGGGGAGGGTAGTAACAATCTCCGTACATGCTGAGCTCAGGGGGCTCCTGGCCCAGATTTGGAAACTGTGGACCACAACGAGGAGGAGACTGGTTCTGGTTCTCAAACGAAGACATTTTCAAGTTTCTTCTCACCTCTCAGTTTCTTCTTAACTTCTTGTTTTTGGTTGTCCTTCCTTTGTAAGCCAAAGTCTTTCTTATTTTTGTCAGCGCTCAATGATCTTTCTTTTTTTCAGTCCTTGTCATGCTTTGGATGATGAGCATGCAACCAAATGCTGGTCTCAAACCTTCAAATTGTAGGCAGCTCTTCTTTGCTCCTTTCTTGTCTGTTTGCCCTTTCTCTATGTCAAGATGTCACCTGTTACACCTGCTTTATCTTCTGCTTTGGTAACGCCCCCAGCCAAATATGTCATTGGAAGTTCTCAGGTGAAGAGTCCCCCCCCACCCCCACCCCTTTTTTTTCCTGTTGTCAGCTATTCCAATCCACCTAGGGGTTTTGTTCACCATAATTTGAAGAAAAAAAAAATTCCATTCAAGCTGTTAGTTAGTCCAGCAACAGATTCATCTGTGAATCTTTTCATTTTTGGTTACATTTGTTGCTATGGTGGTTTAGACACAAACTTTAACATGTACATATATACACATATACATTATGTGTGTGTGTGTATATAT